CTGTTATCGAAAAGAAGGGTGGCTATATTGGTCACTGAGGTTTTCTGTTTGGAATTTCAGAACTGTTTATTTGTAAATTATGAGTTTATTATTCTCACTTTAACAGGTGAAAATAAATAAGTGAGATGGGAAAATCTTTGTTTTTTATTTAGTTGCATAATAATTCTGCACACTAATAGTTGCCTAATAATGGTGTACATGTAGGTATTCTCTTAAGAAAGCCAAAACTTCACCTTTACTACTTAAATGTTCAGGTTTGGGGGTTTGTTAACATTTTGGATTGACCAAGAGCACTGTAGTTGTGCAATAACAAAATTAATCCTCAAAAATACAACTTGCCTAATAATTGTGCACACAGTATAATGATGGATTTCAACACTTCTTACCCAGACATAATAATGAGTTATTTATGAGTGCAAATGCAATGGAATAGAAGTTATTTTAACATTAGTTCAGGATTTGATCAGTTTGTATCTCTTTCCAGAGGGCAATAAAGTAAACAGACCATACCCAGGGTGAGTATTATCCACAACAGTGGCGGGCGACAGTGGTGTGGGGATTGACAGTGATGCAGTGGGTAGGGCAGTCGTCTCCCAACCAGAAGGTTGAAGGTTCAAATCTTGGTGCCGGCAGTACATGTGTTGAAGTGTCCTTGGGCAAGACACTGAACCCCTGTTACCCCTGATGGTTAGAGCCATCGGTTGAGGTGGCACTGCAGATGGCTGCCATCAGTTCTGTAGCAGAAACAAATTCCTTGTGTGTAACATACTTGGCCAATAAAGGTGATTATCCTTACCCAAGGAAATATATCTGGCCTTTTTATGGAGTCGGTCAATATAAGGGGAGGAAGTGATAAGCCAAAAGATTTCTCTGCCGCCCTAACCACACGCTGTAGGCCCTTTCTGTTTTCTTCTGTACAGCTTCCAAACCATACAGTGCAGCAATAGGTCAAAATGCTCTCTATTGCTGATCTGTAGAAATTTATCAAGAGAGTCTGAGGGAGGCATGCGTTCCTTAGTTTCCTGGGAAGAACAGTCTTTGTTGAGCCTGCCCCACCTGATGGGAGATGTGTGGTCCAGGTGAGGTCGGCAGAGATGTGCACACCAAGGAACTTAAAGCTATCCACCCTCTGGATCTCCATTCCTCGTATGCAGAGGGGAAGGTGTACAATGCGTTTAGATTTCCTGTAGTCCACTACAATTTCCTTGGTCTTAGAGATGTTCAGCTCCAGGTTATTATCCTCACACCATTTTACAAGATGTTGAATCTCCTCCCTGTAATCTGATTCGTTGTTATTTGATATCAGTCCTATCACCGTAGTATCATCAGCAAATTTAACAATCGTATTGATGGAGTGAATGGGAGCACAATCATAAGTGAATAAGGAATATAACAGCAGACTGAGTACACAGCCCTGTGGGGTACCAGTACTTATAATAAGGGCAGATGATGTCATGTCTCCCATTCTAACATTCTGAGATCTGTTACTCAAAAAGTCCAGTACCCAGCAACACAGTGTGCTGTCCAGGCCCAGGATATTCAGTTTTTGGACCAGTTTGCAGGGTACTACTGTGCTGAAGTCCACAAACAGCATCCTCATATAGGTATCATTCCCACATACCCTACATACCCATGAACCTCTTTACCAATGAACCCCAAAACACACCTTGCCAAGGTCCATAATATAATCTGTATTTGCACCAGTCCCATGTGTGAATGACATCTGTCTGAATCTGTAGAGCAGATCTCATGAATGTAGCAGCACCATTTAAATGTTTCATAACAAAATATAAGTGAGAAGCATATAGGGTTACACTCAGACGTGCCAAATAAGACACACGGTCTTCAACATGAGTCCATGTTTATTTTATTGTGTCAGCTTAAAATCATACAACCTTGTAGTGTAATCGAACAGGAATGTGCATGGCGAATCAAATCCCAAACAATCCATGAACCAGACATGTCTTGATTGCGCTTCAATTTATTGACCACTAGATGTCCTACTCGAGCACTGTGTCATTGAGGCCTCGAGTAATGAACCATTTTTGTGAATACTGTGTGTCGAAGCTTCAACAAAACCTTGATTGCCAATCACTACCAGCAGGCATGGACTGGTACTAGAAAAGAGGAAAGTGTTGTAACTCGTTTAAGAATAGGTCACACGAATTTAAATTATACCTTGCACAAAATAGGTAAACACCCTGCAGGTCTTTGTCCACGTTGTAGTCAGACAGAGACTGTAGAGCATGTCCTGTTCATATGCAGTGCTTATAATGAGCAACATGCTCGAATGATAGCAGTACTGGAAAAAAAGAAGATTACTAATATATCACTGAAAAGAGTCTTTTGGGCAGCAATTGTAAGACAGCATATAGAGTTGTTATTAGTTATTTGGCAGATATAGGTATTTTGGATAGGATTTAGTAGTTTATGCAGTTCTAAGAACTTTTTTTAATATACTGTACATTCCTTCGGCTCTATTATCGTCCCACACTCCAGCCCAACAGGTGGCGGTAATGCACCTTAGGTTGGCCCGCAAACGGCCAATAAACACCATAAGAAGACGAAGGTCTAATTCATGTTGAATCGTATTTAAATGGTAAATGATCTTATACTCGTATAGCACTTTTCTACTTTACAGCACACTCAAAGCGCTTTCACACTACTTGGCCATTCACCCATTCGCTCACACACCGATGTTATCACCGGAAGTAACTGGGGGTTCAGTGTCTTGCTCGAGGACACTTGGACATGTTGATCTTGGTTCAACTGTTAGCTTTAGTAAAATCATTCGTTTTTACAGACTTATCCTGTGTAGCTTTACTTGAGGTTTCCAGACAATATCCAGCAGTCTGCACTGACGATCGATCCCTTCCCCATTGCGGTAGGATGATCTTTTCAAAGACCCCCACTATTTCTTCAGCAGCAACAGTTAGTCGCTCGTTGATAAACCGTCTCAGATACTGAACTGAAGACATTGTTGATTTGTTACAACTGAAATATTTATCTGAAATACAACAGAACAATTGTTTCCAATTGACTCTTCATCCAAATCTAAGGGGCCTTTTTTTCTTACTTCCGCCGGGTGTCACACTGTGAAGTTCCGGCAGTGAAAGTAGGCTCGTTCGAGTCACTTGTTTATCACCACCTTCGGCCTCATGATAAACGAGACATTTGGAAACATTTTTAGTGCAAGGTCATATTTCCTGCGGGATTTTTGGAGCTGTGCTGACGTTTCTCAGGCGATGATTATTACCTGATGGGAACAATCAGGAATCTGGCTGCTAATTTGACCGCACTTTGTCAGAGTTCACTTAGAAACCATCACAAGGTGCGTAAAGCTGCTGAAGAGACGCTTCTACTGGTGGCGCATTATAAAACTTAGTCTACTTTTGTTTCAGACAATAATGTCGAGACGACTTCATGCATTCAGGACAGACGGGGTCGATAAAAACGTTTGGTAAGTGATGATATTAAGAAAACAAAGGTTTTCAGACCAGGGCTACCAAGGCGTTTTGATAGGCAGCTGTGAAAACGGTTTGTGCAGTGTTGTGGAAATTCAGTCGTCCAACGTCCTTTAACAATCAGATTGGTGGAGTGTAGGGTGGTACACGGACAGCAACAAGGCTCTGTAATATAGGCTAATTTTAGAAGGATTAATATAACATTGATACTTATATGTCGCATCTGTACCACCAGAGATTCAGCAACCAGAGAAATTAAATACATAGGTTTGTGTAATAATAAATAGTTAGATTTTAACCCGTTTCTCGCATTAATTTTGCATTCACTTCTGAAACATATCAATCATATATTTAAGACTGTACTTAATTCTGCAAAACGTCTTCCAAAAACGTAAGCTATCATCTCTGAGTTAAAGTGAAAAGCAGTGGCTGTCCTTTGATACTTTGCAGGAGAATCATTAACAACTGGGCATGGCACTATTTTATAAAGGGCCATTCACCCAGATCAAAAACAAAAACACAAGATATTTTGTCACTGGGACCATGTCAGCTATGGGCATCTGAAAAGTAGCACCACTAGAAGTAAGGATGTTTTTATATTTTTAATTTGAGGTCATCCGGGGAGGCAGGCTCTCACTGACAGTCCTAAAAGTGAAGTTCTGACAAACTCAATGCTTTCTACAGAAATTATTTATTCTGGTGCATTAATTCATTAGGCATATCGTTTTTAATTTCTTAATTGTTGCAGGGGTAGTTTAGCTCAGAAGGCAGGATTGGTGGTTTTTAATTGGGTCTGCTAATTGAAGTAATATGGATGAACTGTCTGACCAGCTGTTTTTGCACTAACAGGGTTGAATTCACTCAACTGGCAGCAGACTACAAACCAGTGAACCTTGGACAGGGATTTCCTGACTTCTCCCCTCCCCGGTTTGTCCAGGAGGCTTTCTGTAAGGCAGTGAGTGGAGGACCTTCAATGCACCAGTATACCCGTGCTTTTGTAAGTGTAACTGGACACATGGGAGCACCTGTGAATGTCAGAATGCTACATGTACATTAAGTTTCAGTGATTTTTACCAGGTATTAAAAGCACAAATACATGTTTTTATGTCATTTCTTTGCCCAGGGTCACCCCCCTCTTGTAAAAGCTCTGGCTAAATTCTTCAGTAGGATTGTGGGACATGCGATTGATCCTTTTGAAGACATCTTGGTCACAGTTGGAGCCTATCAAGCTCTCTTCTGTGCATTTCAGGCACTGATTGATGAAGGCGATGAGGTACAGAAAACAACCTAAGTCAGGTCATGTTAAATATTTTAATTAGGAAAGCATACAAGCAAAAAGCACTAAACATATTGGATATGTACACAAGTTTGAATATGTTTGTGTGGTTTACTCTGTTAAAACACTTTCATATAGAGCGCAGGTCGACTGAGGAAAAACTAATGCTGATACCCACAATGTAATAGATGCAGTAGCTTCAAGCTAAAGAAGAACATTAACAGAAGTGTGTCTTTCAGGTCATAATCATTGAGCCGTTCTTTGATTGCTACCAGCCGATGGTGAAGATGACTGGCGGAAAGGCAGTATATGTTCCCCTGAGGCCGGTGAGTGATTTACACCTTTTAATCTTTCATGAGGGCTGTGAAGCGTTTTTTGACTATGTCATCATCGTCCTTGTGGACTTACATTTATACATACTTTAAAGTATTGTTTCTTTCCTTCTAATTGCAGAAAGTTGAAGGCAGTGCTGTCTTGTCAAGTGGAGACTGGGTTCTTTCTGCTGACGAGCTGGCCAGTAAAGTGACTCCACGCACAAAAGCCATTGTTATCAACACTCCTAATAACCCACTAGGCAAGGTAACATATTAACCACAGACTCTCGAACACTTGTTTCACTGGCTATAATGGGTCACATGGCACATATGCATACCCAGGTTTACAAGACTGAAGAGCTCCAAATGATTGCTGATCTGTGCATTAAACATGATGTGCTGTGCATCAGTGACGAGGTGTACGAGTGGCTGACTTATGACGGAGCCAAGCATGTGAAGATAGGTGAGATACCGTAAAGCCAAAGTTCAGCAAAACACTGACAAATCATAGAGTGACATAATTAATATGACTGCGCTGTGCTTGTGTTGTTGACAGCCAGCCTTCCTGGCATGTGGGAACGAACCATCACTATTGGCAGTGCTGGAAAAACCTTTAGTGCTACTGGGTGGAAGGTAATGTACAGATTGTCTGAGCATTTAGTGATGCATTCATCTGTACAACACATTGTAATGATTACCTGTATTTTTTCAGGTTGGCTGGGCGATCAGCTCTGGCCAGATCATCAAACACATGAAAACTATCCATCAGAACAGTGTTTACCACTGTGCAACACCCGCTCAGGTAAACACGCTTCATCAGTTTGCTTTAAGACAATATACTATGACAAATTTAATATATATGTAAATATTTTTTTATCTTTAAATATTTAGCAGTGCTTTGCAATTATGGCCACATTCCAGAAACTTCTATTTTAAATCCTAGCTTCAGTCCTAGAGCTTGCAAAAATGCCAAATGTTGTGCTGATCTGCGGGAAAATGTAAATTAGTCTACACATAATTCATCTAGAACATTTCCATTTTATTGATGGTGTGGCCATTGTCACTGACGCTGTCCCACCTTTTTTTAATGTTATGTTTTTTCTTTAAATTTCTTTCAGTAGGCTATAAAAAAGACTATAAAAAGCCTGGGACATAAAGAGATACAAACAACAGAACAGATCCAGACACCAGGGTTAAAACATAAGTTCACGCACAATAAGGGCAGGTTTACTGTAGGCTAGGAGAAAACGGGTTTCTAACCTTTTAATGCTGCAGAAAATCTGTGATTAAGAGGTTACGATTAAATACTGTTTAATTTAAGTGATTTAGGAGTCCTGAATTCAGACAAGTTAGAATCTGCCAGTGGACAGAGAATGTTGGCCATAGTTTTTCAAATAAACATGTATCTCAGTTATCATTTCAACTTCAGTTACATCTTTGAAACTGTATATCACAGTTCTTTGTCTTCAACAGGAGGCAGTGGCTCATGGGTTTGAGAGAGAATACAAAGTGTTTGGGACTCCAGAGAGCTACTTCCAGCAGCTGCCTGCCATGCTGCAAAATAAGAGGAAGAAGTTGGCTGCGTGTCTGGAGAGCGTGGGTTTGCAGCCCATCATGCCAGAGGGAGGCTATTTCATGATCACAGACATCTCCTCTGTCAGTGAGTGCAGAACAACCATCTGAACTGGGTTGCATCCTTCATTGCTTAAAATAAAAGCATTGAATTGTGGAAGCTAATTAATATTCACGTCAGCTTTCCCTTTTTAACAGAGGTAGACTTCAATGATCTGAGCACTAAGGATGAGCCCTATGATTTTAGATTTGTCAAATGGCTAATTAAAGAGAAGGTAAGGATTTTAAAACATCTGTTTTGGAATTTATTAACATTTGAAATTGCATTCTTTCAAAGCACCAGCACAAGGAAAAAGTGACTGGATTGCTGTACTACCTTCTCATTTTTCAGACTTTTTCACTAATTGTCTTTCTTCTGCAGGGTTTAGCAACAATCCCCGTCTCTGCATTCTACAGTCCAGAGCACAGCAAGGACTTTGACAAGTACATCCGATTCTGTTTTGTCAAGGTAAACTTGGCTTAATTAAGGAAATGAGACTGATCCAAGCCTTCTCCTGTCTCACTCTTCTGGTCAAAATTTCTCTCTTGTGTCCCGTTTTCATCTGACAGGAGGACTCCACCCTGGATGCGGCAGAGGACATCTTAAGAAAGTGGAGTCAGAGAGAGTAACATTAACCATGATGCAGAGCATTACCAGTCTGTCCAAATTTCACCAGACCGCTTGGGGAGGCCTGCCTCCTCGGTTCAAATGATTCATATTGTTTTTCAATGTGTGCTCTCATATGAGGGTACTGTAAGATGAACAAATGCAGCATCCACTTTCAGTTTGTTTGAAACACTCAGGCTTTGTCAAAACATTGTTGTGAATGTGTCCGTGCAATGACTTTAATCTGAAAACTGTTAAATACTTTTCATTATTATAACAATGTATCAGTAATTCTTAAAGAAATATTGAGTTGATTTGTATTTAAATCATGCACTAAGCAAAAAGTTTAATAAAGTTTTTAAAAGAATGTACTGTATATTACTTTTCTTGGGTGCCTATATGATCTGTGTGAAGTAAAAAGAATATTTTATTCCACAACCCAACAGCAATTCAAACACAGTCATTTACAGGGAAATGAAAACTGGTTTAAGGGTCGAGACCTTAAAGTAAAACAAAAAAAATGTACTCTTTCTATTTTCCATGGACATCTGAGCAGTAATTCAGCCTTGTACTAATGAAGCTGTGAAGACCAACAATTTTTTTTCAGTTTTAATATTCTTAGTTTTTTGCATAGTGTGTGTGTCATTGATTTCATTTGATATTTTGAATATCTCAGGATTCTACATTTTATTTATCAGTGACAGTAAAAAAAAATGTTACAAAGGTTATAAGTTTTGATTTTGATTTATTTATTCATTCAAACATGTAACAACAGTCAGTATGTAACCACACATAATTCCAGACAAATCCACAAATATATTTTCAATTTGCTTATACCTAGTACATGCTTGAACGGAGTAGGAAGAAGTTAGACTTATCTAGTCCTACCCCCTAACATCATCTTATCATCATTGGTTTGCAAGCAGTATTACTACATGGATACATATTCTACATCCACACTCCCATCTGATTAATCATTAAGCCTGTTCTTGCCCATATCTTGATTGACACATACCTTTATATCTGTGTTTAAACTCATCAATTTTCTTACTGTTTTTTATGTCCACACTTAAATTATTCCATAGTTTTACTCCACTTATGGAAATACAGAATCTTTTTTTGGT